CTCATTCGTGTTCCTCCCCGGATCGTGTGTTCCTCCCCGGATCGTGTGTTCCTCCCCGGATCGTGTGTTCCTCCCCGGATCGTGTGTTCCTCCCCGGATCATGTGTTCCTCCCCGGATCGTGTGTTCCTCCCCGGATCGTGTGTTCCTCATACTGAGCATTTAGCTGAGATAATGGGGGCAGAGTAGTCCCGATACAATCCAATCCGACCTTTAGCATTTCTGATAACTCCCTATATTCTGCCCCTCTTTGGGCCTGTTCACTCTGAGTTGCAGATTGCCAGAGAACCTTGAGCTTGGCCAGGTCTCCTTTTGTAGCCTCTACCACATGTTCGACCACCGTAGTCCGTGCGGACCTCTACGACTGAATTATGATCAGCCATGGTGTCCTTACGGTGCCTGCAGTTTGTTCTTGTTTAGCAGCATCCTGCAACCACAACGTTCGTCGTCGGATTCTTTTGGCTAAGACATGGAAGGCTTCGGCTCCATCCTCCCGCATTGCACAAGGTTTCACACGAAATTCAAAAAATGCCACGACTCATCAAGCCCCTCCGGCAGGTCAAGTTCTACGACCTTTCCAGTGTTCGAAACACACGCTTTGGTGTGTTCACATCGCACCACGATCGGCGTCACTAGCGACTTGATTTTTTCGTGTACCTGCTCAATGCTCTGCCCACCAGTGGCAACTGTGTGCCAGCCAGGCGATCCATAGAATGCACGAAACGCTTCTCCGACCTTTTGCTGTTTATCTGCGTCCTCGTAACGCTCCTTTTGGCCACTCTCCAAGCGAGTCGCCATATTCCTGTTCGGATCGCTCTCAAGGAAAATCACCAAGTCGGGAGCCAGCAAACCCTCGTCTGGATACATACACCAACTAAGAGACTCATTCTAAACACACGGTATTCAGATGTCCATCTGTGTGTGTCCATCTGTGTGTGTCCATCTGTGTGTGTCCATCTGTGTGTGTCCATCTGTGTGTGTCCATCTGTGTGCATGTGTGATGGGGGAGAGATTACAAAGATGCCGTGGGTGTAAGCGATTCCAGAGAAAGCGTATCGGTCGCATACGACCATTTTGCCGTCTTCTAAGGCTTGTCGGATGTTGGTTTGTTTTTCCCACCGGTTTGCTGAATACAACAGATGGGCCGCTTTATGCGAGATATCCGACTTGCTTTTCAAGTACTGATCAATACAATGTCCTATCTCTGTCGTGCGGTCAGGAAAGCACATTGAAATAACCTCGAGTCCGTGTTCTATCCGTAACCATTCGGCCAGTCGACTGGACTGGGTGCTTTTACCGCTTTTATCTAAACCTTCGATAACAATAAATCGTCCCCTGCGTCGCTCTCCCTGGTCCTCTTTACATGTGCGCAGCTTCTTGCTATCATTCGTGACGTTTATGTTCTCTTGCGCCATTGCTCCTGCCTGTACCAGTCACTAGACGATTAGGGTGACTAGCTTCACTAGACGATTAGGGTGACTAGCTTCACTAGACAAGCAGCTGGACAGTAAGTTACCCAGACTTACACTTACTCGGTTTCGAAATATTGATCCAAACAAATGATGACAGCAACAAGACGGCAAGACGTTTCAGAACGAACTCATTTCAGAATCAACCTGTTTTGGTTTACACGCAGTCAACGTCGTTGGCGTGAACCTGTAAAGGCGAGTTGGATGTGGGGGGAAAGAGCATACATGGGGTAGGAAGCTATGTTTGGTGTCGGTGAGTCTGAGACACTCGCTCCCATGAGAATTGGGGTCAGCCAGCCGGGGGTTTAAAATGTTCCGTAATTCTTCCCGCCACTGGGGAAGAACTCCGGCGTAGGTTTGTTGGGCTCTCCGCCACTGGGAGAGGCCTCGTAAGAAGGAGGGAGATCTCTTGGGGCAGGTATCATCTTCTGGAGTCCTAGTTTCCCCTTAAAAAACGTCTCTCTCTTAGTGATGCGCTGCAAACACGCGCGCGTTGTCCCAAATATGCCCGACGTCCTTCATGTCCCAAAAGACGTTCGCACTGGGACTAACTCAGACGAGAACCAGCACTAGCGATTCTCCCATTTCCGGACAATCCTCGGCGGTACCTTCTCTACGCGAGGTTCTGGTCTCACGGCCTTTGGGGAACGGGGGAATTATTTAT